AAGAGCAGCAGGATGAAAGCTGAAGTGTTTGGGGCACCATTATCTGCTCAGATTCAACCAAATGCTTCAAAACTCATTGGACGATGCTTCACAGTGCAGATGGACATTGACCTGAAGCATACTGCAAAAGCAACCAAAGACATTTTTAAGGCAAAGAAGTGGAATGTTCTGCAATGGCCAAGTCATATCATCTGACCTGAATCCAACTGAGCATGCGTTTCTCTTGCTGAAGCCAAAACTGAGGGCAAAACACCCAAAACACAAGCAGGAAGTGCAGACGGCTGCAGTAAAGGGCTGGCAGAGCATCACCAGGGAAGAAACCCAGCATCTGATGATGCCTATGTGTCCAACACTTCAGGCAGTCATTGACTGTAAAGGATTTGCAACCAAGTATTAAAACTGACTGTTTAATTGATGATTATGTTAGTTTGTCCAAATACTTATGAGCCCTTAAAGTCGGGGGACTGTGCGAAGAAATGGTTGTCATTCCTACATGGTTCATACTACATTTTTGAAAAAAGCCTTAAATGAAAGCTGAGAGTCTGCACTTTAAGCAGGTATTCATTGTTTCATTTAAAACCCATTGTGGTGGTGTACAGAGCCAAAATGATGACAAGTGTATCATTGTCCAAATAATTATGGACCTGACTGTACTTTCAACATATTGTACCACAATAGCCAGAACTATAACTATAACATTATTACTTTCATTAATGTTGTTGTAAGCTACTGTCATTACCGTCTGTCCTGCATATCTCTCTCTCTCTCTCTCTCTCTCTCTTTGAAACCTAAACATCTTCTGCCCATCGTGACTGATAAATATTTAATACAATGAGTCTCAACAAGAATGCAGCCTTAAACACATTTCACAAGCTTCATTATGGGTCTCAATAGTGTGTAAGAAAATTGAGATGTGTTTTTATTCATTGCACTTTGTACTCAAAAGGTAGGATGATGGGCTTTAAATTTAGTGCACAAAACAAAGTGACCCGCCCCCTTTTTTGGGCGGTCTTTGGAAGACCTGTCTTCATTGGGACAGAACAAAACATGAGCGGGGTGTTTGAAGGGGTCACTGGGTGTCTTTGGATTTGAGACTGGTGGGGCAGAAAGTGATTTTAGGGGTCCTGCGTAAAAGAAATTTAGGATTAAAGAATTCAACCCTCGTTTAATTTATTTTCATTATTTACAAGATTGAAATAAAAACACGATAAAACTGGTAGTCCACAGACAGACAATGTGAGATTATCAACTTACTGTGTGTAAGAACTAAAGTATTTCAGGCGTGGAGCTTCCTTTAGTTTTAAACCTAGAGACTATTAGTGTGTCGAGTACATCAGAAAGACAATATGAGATTGAAGAATTAAAGTGACCTTTTAAAAGAAGCAGCAAACATAATGTCCCTCAAAGACATCTCTCTCTCTCTCTCTCTCTCTCACATACAGATTACTGTTAATTTATTATGTTGATCTGTTCTGTACATCATTTATTGCACGTCTGTCCGTCCTGGAAGAGGGATCCCTCCTCAGTTGCTCTTCCTGAGGTTTCTACCGTTTTTTTCCCCGTTAAAGGGTTTTTTGGGGAGTTTTTCCTTATCCGCTGTGAGAGTCATAAGGACAGAGGGATGTCGTATGCTGTAAAGCCCTGTGAGGCAAATTGTGATTTGTGATATTGGGCTTTATAAATGAAATTGAATTGAATTGAATTGTTAATGTCACTACAAAATTCAGTGTTTCCATGAGCAGTTATTTTTTAAGACGTCACGTTAGGCTCTGGCAGACTGTGCTGAACCATTTTACTGAACTGTCTGCCCTTTGATAGATTACACAAGTGATGTAATATTCAGAAAAGATAACAACAGTAATCACTAGTTGCAGCTAGGGGTGGGAATCACCAGAGGCTCCATGCAGTATAATCACAAAACTTAAGTCATGACATAATATTATTGCAATTTTAAATATGTTGTAATATGCTGAGTATTTCAATAAAATAGATTATGATTTGTTACCTTTTTCAAATGCAAATTATGTCCTTAAATGAAAACTTTGTCAGCATCCCTTTTATCTAGTTAGATAAAGTTTTAAGTCTTTTCATCTCACTGAAATTTTTTGAAGCAGCAAAATGTATCTAGTGGATTGAAAAAGCAATTGATCAAATTCTTCAAGTAAGCTACCTAAAGTGTAACTTGTATTTGTCAGGGCTTGACGCTAACTTTTTTCCCAAGGAGCACATGTGCTCTTAAGTTGAAAAAGTAAGGAGCGCACAAAGAACTTAGGGGCACAATGTAAATTGATCAAATAATGTGTTTTCCGTAATAAACGTGATGCAAATAGACATTTACAAGCAAAATTATTTAATGAATTTGTATACAAAATGTACAGAAAGGTAAAATCATCAACTTTTGAAAAAGTATTGCAATCTAATTTTGTCTTTAATGTTATCTTATATATATTATCTTTGCAATATGATTATCTTATATAATGTTATTACTATCCTAAAACATTCTCCAGGTCCTCTGAAACTCTGCAAGACTTATTTCCACCCTGCCCAGCAGCGGTACCGTGGCGAACGGTCCCTAACTGCAGGGAGAACGGAGCAGGCTTCCCTGGAGGTCCACCGCTTTTCCCGGTCCCTCTTCTCCTCCACACTTTGACTTATTCCCACCCTGACGACAGTGGCTTGGAAAACCGCCCATAACCGTGGCACACGAGGAAGAGGGAAGAGGGAAGGCGGCTGGAGTTCCTCCAACATTTGCAGTAAGATTATCATATTTTTTACTGACAAAAACATAGGCTGCTTCGGCTGATTTTTTGATGTGCACGTGCCCCTAAATATTTTTTACAGTTTGCACACACCTATTTTTAGTCGCAAATGCGAGTGAAATGCTTGCACTGTTGAGCGCTGTTTGTAATAATAAAAACTTATATAATAAAAAAAAATCAATACTTGGCACCATGTGACGATATGATACTGCCACACAAAAATATCGCGATACCATCCTGTATCGATATGTCCCAGTTGCAACCCTAGATTCTACTCGGTGTTTATTGTTGTCCAAAACAAGTTCTTTGGTACCAGACCCAGCTTAAGATGCTGAACAACAACTAAACAGAGAAAAGTATATATATTTGTAAGAGAATGGTTTACAAATCCTCTACTTTTTAAAACTTTTCATTCAACTCACAGGTCAAAACCATTATGGCAGCAGTCTCACATATACATGGTATTTATGAGGTGGACCATAGCCACAATACATACATATGTATATTTTGGCTTAATAAAAATGAATGGTTATCCATTACAAATATCATCAGTGTTCAGTTAAAACAAACATGCTGTCTGTTTTCTAATAAGACCTTAACAAGAGGATTTAAGTCTCTCCAGTATTTTTGTATTTGAAGGTCACTGGAACAAAACAAATTAATTTAAACCTCCTCTGGTCAGATTTACATTTACAACAAAGAGGTCAAACATAGTCATTTAAAATTATTGATGTTTTGTTGCTGCACACTGACAGCAGAACATTGTTTTGACACTCAAACTTAGCTAGCAAGACACAGCTAACAGCCAGGCTACATCTGATAACTTGCTGCTACAGTCGGTCGACAAACGTCTCAGATATTACACTTTCATTTCACAGGCTCGACACGTCCGAGAGAATAACTGCTCCTCATAAAATATCAGATACAAACCTGAAACTAAAACTAGCTCACAGGAGGTCAAGCTGTAAACTAACGTTAGCTAACTGAAGCTAAGCTAGCTCGTAGCTGCTACACTGACAGCTAAAAACAGCGAACTGTAAATTAACTGCGCTTCGTTGTTGTTAAAATATTACAAACAAGTGGAGTTTTCCAGCATCTTACTCACCAACTGCATCAACGTAGAGAAATGTCAGCGTGTTTGTTGTGAACTGTTCAGCTTCAACTTTGAGACGAGCATGGCAATGGAGCCAGCGCATGCGCAGTCACTACAGCAAAGAGGGGTAAAATAGTGTGATGCATCACTCTGTCACAAGATCGAACATCCAGGAATCACAAGGTAACAAGGGAAAATAGAAGTCTTTGGACAGAATAAAGGCAGAAATAATTACACATAGACTGAGAAGGCATTTTTAAAAAGTCAATAACCGAAAGTGTACGTAAAAATAATGATAGAAATAAAAACTGAAACTATAAAAGAGCAATTAAACACATTACAAGAAAATTACAAGTTAGACCCAGTTTGTTTCTGTCATGTAGTTCTCTATTCAAAACTTGAAAATTGGTATTGATAACATTTTAGTCACAGAAACAATCTCTTGTTTTCTATATACACAACATAAGTCAAATCAAAATGTGGTAGGCAATTCGACAGCACTTTCTATTTTTGAAAACAAGTTCAAATTTGAGTCTCCCATATGGAGGCCCATTTCCATCAAGAAAAGAAAATACAGCAAAAAGTTAGGTATGCTTTCAACAATAAATGCTTTGTATAAGAGTTAACAAAAATGCAGTTAAAGGAAAACATTATGTGAAATCGACATGAGAAGCAGAACTGAAGATGAATCTGTCAGAAGATGATACGCAGCAAACCTCCACCAGCTCTATAAAGATGTAGAATTTGGCAGGAAGAATATAATTCAATATTTTATCACACCATATACAATATATAAACAATCAGGTGAACAACAGCATTGCTGGAGACTCTGTGGGCAGGCGAATGCCAATCACTCACATGTATTTTGGTCATGTATAAAACTACATTCTGGGATCGAGTTATTGTAATTCTTGAGAGTTTTAGGTTACAAGATCCCAAAGGACCCACGATTTCAGTACTTGGGATTAAAACCTGAGGATATTATTCATAAGACGGACATTTATCTGTTCAAAATCCCGATACTGGCCAGCAAAAAGGTCATTACTAGGAACTGAAACATAACCCTCCAACTCCAGGACAACCATGAATTAATTCAACTTTTGTCACACCTAACATTTTTATTGATTTCAAACTCAATAAAACCACTCTTTATTTCTGTATAAGATTTATTTCTGCAGTCCATAAACAGTCTCTGTGTCACAGTTACAGGTGCTCATTCACCTACAGTACATGATTTATTCCTTATTTCATTCTGCATGTGTTTTTATGAACTTAAATATGCAGTTAATTCACAGCAGGACACTTCACACACAAACGCCTGTAGTCACATGAAATAAGAGACTGAAATACAGTTTTTTTTTTTCAAAGAGAGAAATGTGCAACAATCCCAACGTGGAATGTTTTCATTCAACATTAACATCAAAAACAGAGACCACAGCCTCCTGCAGGGTGCCATGTGTCTAAAAACTTCAGGGACATCTGACTTCCTGTCCCACTTTGTGCTTTGAATCAATTTTCAATGAAGTAAGCTCTGGTAAAAATAAACTCTATCGACCTATAAAAGATTGTCATCACCACAATCAATGTAATTTCCTTCACTGTTTACATCATCATCATCATCATCATCATCATCATAATCTTCATGCTCCTTGCCTTCATCCTCCATCATGATGTCAAACAGATCAAAAGTTTTCTTCATGAAAGTTTCTTAGAGCTTTCACCATTGACTGCCTGTGCAGACATGAAGTTCATGATGAGCGAGGCAGCCTTCCTCGGCCGCTCCAACGCCACAGAGTGACCACAGTTTTCCAACACTGCCACCTGACAGTTTGGCAGCGCTGCCTGCACCACTGTTGCCCCCGACACATCCACTACCTGAGAGAGGAGACAGGTTTAATACCAGCTCAATATAACAACATCTGGTAGAGACATTCATGGTACCCAGAGGATAAATCCTGATGAGTTTGGTGATCTCCCGACTTTTCACAGGTTCATATTTGTGTTTTTATTTCCCATTTAGAGCCCTAGTCGGTTCAAAATCTTAATTTGTCTGATGCTTTATGACCAAACACCTGCAAAACTAATGAAACTCCATCAGCCTCAGCTCAGCTTTGTGTTTAAAAGCCCAAAGGACGACATCCTGAAGATGGATTTAGGGGTTCGGGCACAAATAAAATAATATGAAGCTGCTCTAATGATTAAAATGTGATCAGTATATCAAATATGACTCACTTTTATTGATTAACACTTTTAAACCTGAGCAACTTGGCTTGATTTCTTTCAAAAACATGGAAAGATGGCAGTGAGCAATGAAAGAAGAAATTATCCAAAAAGTTTACAAGAAATTAGTAAAGAGAGAAAATTAAAAACAAGAAGATTAGTTCAAAAAGAGAAAGTTAAAAACAAACAAACGAGGAAATGACCTGGAAAAGTGCTTAAAAATTATAGTAATTCTGTACCATAATTTAAAAAATGTAATAATAATTTTTATAAATGTAAATTTTCGTAAGTTTTTTTCCCCTATTTTAAAAAATAATTCTTAATTTTTTTGCAATTTGTGGGACATTCCTTACCAGGTTTCTTATTGCCCTTTTTCCCCTGTTATGTGAAAGAAATTACACCAATGTGCTCAGCGTTCAAAGGTTTAAATACTTGCGAAAGGCACCTGAAAGCAGTACAAGAAAAGTGATGTCACTCGAGGTTTCAAAGGATTAAACTACCAAAAAATATATAATAAAATAAAATAAAATGTGCTCCATCTTAACCAGCTATAACATTAAAGTACTGCTCCTGATGCATCAATAACAGAGATTCATTAATATAATGATATATGACTGTGACTACTTTTACTTTTGACTCTTCACCTACGTCATATTTTGAATGCTGTTTTGCATAACAACATTTTTTTTTTAATCTACTTTTACTGCACATGCACTCAGGTGAAATCCATATATGGAACTTGACGGTCACATGATGAGTGTTACCTGGAAAACAATACTCAATATACACAATAAATCTCTTAACAGGAAAATCTATTCAGCTATTTCCTTGAAAGGACTTTTTAAAATGACCACTGCTGTATCGCTGTGATTCAGTCATACCTGGTCCTCCTTCCCCCAGATGACTTGGATGGGTGATTTGATCAGATGTAAGTTTTCCTGCAGCGAGTGACGAGACTTTTCCCCGATAATCTCCATGAACACTGAGCAACAACAACAATAAATTTAAGGAGCATATTACAAACACATACAGTAATTGTGATATTTAAATAATGGACACGTCTTAAATTTAAAAAGGGGAAATGGATGAGGAGAGAAGGAGGAGGTCATAGAGGAGGAGAGCGTGCTGGTAATGTGATATGAGCAGACTGACGTTCTTTATAGAAACCATTATTGGGGATCCTGTTGGCAAGAAGACCTCGCAGGACCTGACAACACACACACACATTAGAATTACTAACAGTAACTAGACTGATATATTGAAAGTGTTGTTGTATGACGAGTCTAAATTTGGATTAAACACCAGGTAGCACGGCATGTACCTGTCGGGGGAGGTTGAGGGGGGTGTAGCAGCAGAGTCTCAACATGTCCTCCAGCTCCTGAGGAGTTGAGGGGATCAGAGGGATCGAGTCATCCTGCTGAGTCTTCTCAATCTCCCTCAGGCGACTGATGAACTCAGAGTCTGTGGGATAAACCAGACCTGGAGGACAGAGAGGAAGAGGAGAATATCTGTCAGTCTGCTTCATCAAACAGTCTCAGGTTTGAATCCTTGAGCGTCTGCTGAGTTTACCTGCCGGACAGACCAAGGTGACGCTGGACAGATTTGTCGGGTAATGGGCGGCGTACACTCCAGCGACATTCCCACCCATCGATGTCCCGACCAGGTGGAAGGGTCTTTTGTCCAGACCGATGCTCTGCACAAACTGCACAGAGACAGAGAGAGGGGTTATCCGTCCGCTCAGTGATTCTGTGCAGCGTCTCCGGCTGTAGCATCATTAGCCAGATACTGTGGTGAGCACTGGGCTGGTCATGGTCTCTGTTGGCCCTTTGCATACATCATTCCATACTTGGTTTGACTCAGTTTGACTGGGCTGCTTTGAAGACGTGTTTGTATGACATCTGTATGACAGGTGGTGCCAAAGACAGACTCCATGATGAGGAGTGAAACTTTAAAGATTTAAAACTAGAACAGAAATAGCAAAAAGCTTTCTGACATGCTCGTTTTTCATCGGGGACTTTGGTCCTGGCGTTATAAATAAGGAGAGGTTTCAGCACACACACATCTACACACACACACACACACACACACACACACACATCTTTACAGACCTGGTGGATTCGGGTGACCTGTCCCTGAATGCTGTAGTCATCTGCACAGGTGCGACTCGTCCCCCCGTGTCCCGGCATGTCCACACACACCACATGCAGGCTTTTGGGGAGATACTGGAGGAGAAAACAAACAGACCCAAGACTCATTGAAACGAAATGTGCTCCGTACTACTCACTAACTCTGGGAAGGTTTTAAGAAGGAAAAGTGACAAAATGAAATATATATTTAAAGCAGATAGTTTGCAGAGCTCACAAAGCTTGAATTAAAACAGCTCGAGGAACATCTCCGAAAACAAATCCAAAAACATTTGCATTCATTAAAACATATTTATTCAAAGCTGAAACCTTAACCACTCATTTGCTGCTGATAAGAATATTCTAACATAATTTACGCCAAAGAAATATGGCAGAGAGGGAAAAATGTGCCAACCAACCCCAGTCTCCCCTATTAAGACGATTAATAGTACATGATGTATAGAATTAGTAGAATGGATTTGATATGAAGACACTGACACCTTAACATCCTTTCCTATGTGTTTCACTCATCCCTCCTCGGTTTCTTCCATCCATCTTGCCTTTGATCATTTCCACCATCTTTAATACTCTCCTTTAATCATATTTAGTCTCTCTATACCTTCTGTCCTTTCCTCCTCCACTTGTTCCTTTCCTCCTTCCTACCTCTCTTCTATGTCTATGTCATTCTCTGAATTTAATTTCCATCTTCTGTCTTTCCACTGTCCATCCAACTACCTCTTCACTATGTTTGACAAAGACACTAATCATGCATACACGTGTATGTGAGAAAAACTGTGTCTGTCCCTGTATGCATGCGTTACCTTAATGACAGGCAGCCACATGTCCTTGGTGGCGGAGAAGCCGTGCAGCAGCAGCAGTGATGGCGTGGTGCCATTTGGCGTCCCGCGGCTACAATAACAGAAGCGGTAACATCCACTCTGGGAGTAGCGGACCACCAGGCCCAGACTGCGCCGCCAGTACCTGAGGAGGATCACAGCGAGATCACCAGGAGTCATTATGTGCACGTGACATCTGGATAATGTGTTCAAGAATTATGATTCATGCCAACATCACAGAGGGATGGGTGCAGTGATTATCACACTCCACAGCACATGAAGCAGGATTTAAAGTAGTGTATTATAAGGTTACAGAGTCAAAGATGTAGCTTCTGTCAACCCCTTGTACACAGTGTAAATCCATCCTGAGTATTTAACAGACACATAGTGGTGACTTAAATGTTTACAGAGCTGTAACAGTTCGTGCAAAATCAACAATAGCTGTATCTAAACATAACTGTGCACACAGACTTGTTGGTTGACTTCTGCTTCACATAAGACTCTACACTGCAGCTGTTTTTTATGAGACAACACATTTATAATTTCATATGTGACTCTTTAAATGTAAAGATTGTCCTGAGGGTGGTGCTACAGGAAAGGTCAAGGGGGTCATTAAAATTGAAATTGTTGATCCTGTGGAGAGCAGGAATGTGAAAAACTTGGAAATCTTGTTGAAATTTGCTCAGTGCTGCTCCTGGGGCTAAAATGCAACTCATTTCTCTGAGAACACAGTCGACCACACTTTCAAAATACCTGATTAACCTCTCAGAAAAACTTGTGAGAGACCATGTGCCTCTTTCATACTGGTAAATGTTCAACATTTGCTTCTCGTGAACATTTTCAGTTCTGTCTTTAGCGTTTCTTGTAAATTTTTATTTTTCCTAATTCAATTTCAATCTTCTTTCATGTGATGCTTCTGACTGACATTTTATGGACGTCACTGAGCTGCTGACAAAACCACGATTACATCACACTGACTCAGCACTGTGCGAGAGTGAAATAGCAACAATAATCTGCCAAGTGGTCAACATGTAGCTCTTTTTTACAGCTTAGACAAAGTCCAGAAGGTCAGGTCACACACACACAGTCCTGCTCCTTCACAACAAAACTGTATTTTAAAACTGTAAATTAAAGCACAGCAACATGCTGTAACACACAGCTGAACACAAACCTGATAGTCTGTCACAAAAATATTATCATCTAAAAATTTAAAATAAGGCAGCACGGTGATGCAGTGGTTAGCATTGTCGCCTCACAGCAAGAGGGTTCCTGGTTCGACCCTGGGAATGGGGGAGCCCTCTGTGCAAAGTTTGCATGTTCTCCCTGTGTCAGCGTGGGTTTTCTCCAGGTGCTCCAGTTTCCTCCCACAGTCCAAAGACATGCAGGTTAAATGGTGACTCTAAATTGTCCATAGGTGTGAATGTGAGTGTGAATGGTTGTCTGTCTCTATGTGTCAGCCCTGTGATAGTCTACTGACCTGTACAGCATGTACCCTGCCTCTGTCCTAATGTCAGTTGGGATGGACACAGCGGACACTGCAAATTAAAATTTAATGTTTATTATTTAAACTTTGACTGACTAGACTAAAAAACACACATTACTCGATGATGACTAATGTTTTTTTTTAATCTAAATATCCACGTTCGTTTTCCCTGGACAGAGCCATGATCTGTTTGGATACCAATGACAAGGAAAACAAACAGGCATATTTAGATTTTAAAAAATGTCAGTAAGCATCACCTGTATGTGTCTTTTTTAATCCAGTGAAAGGATTTTTCAGTTAAAGTTAAAGGCTCTCGGGAAGTGACGCAGTAACTCAGTGCGCCCAAAAAAGTACATACTACTGTTTTACACAAAGGTATGTTGAGCGATGGTACACGTTTTGGTAATGTAGTGCTTAGTGTGTGATTTTGGATGCAGCGATACAGATTTGAGTTAAATATGTTCACCACAGCAGGACATTTTGTTTGGAGCACAACTTGAGGTCCTGACAGATAATTTAAAAAACCCTACAGGACACCTGACACTGTGCTGCTGATGAAGGAGGTGTAATGTCTAGTTTGTCCTAAGGGTGGCACCAGGGCAGGGGTAGGCACCGTGCAGCTCTTTAGCCCCTCTCCGGTGTCTCCATGTAGCTTTGACAAAAAAGTCAAATGGAAATGAATAATGGTTGGGTTTTTTAAAACATATTAATTGTTATTTATCAATGTCATAAGCCTAAAGAAATTCTTATATTCTCTAAAAGTAAAAAAAAAAATCCCAACAGTGTTCATATGAACTCTTTTCAAGAACACAAATAAACACAACTGATATTACCAGAATGTTTTAAATACCACTCCCCAGTCTAACCAGTCTTTTGTTACAGTATGAGCGTATTTACCAGTTGTAGACGTTGACGAGCACTCCAGGCCAGAACAGGAAGGAGGTGATGAAGGCGAGGACAGGGAGAACCAGAATACCTCCTGATAGCATAATCAGCTCCATTGCTGCAAATGCCTTTCAAAATAAAACACACAGACTCTCAGATCAGTTTCTGAAGTGTAGATGCTAAAGCAGTGACCCATCAGCCCTGCTGCATCTGACTTCACACCAGTGCACTCAGTACAGAAGTGGTGCTGTGATCTGATTTTAGCCTAGCTTAGCACAAAGTCTGAAGGCAGAGTGAAACTCACCCAGCAGGTTAATCTGGCCCAAATTTTCCAAAATGTCTGACTTCAGAATTGATTTTAATCCCGCTCATCAATTTTTGGGCCTTTATGTGTCCTTATAAATAAGTAATACAAGCTAACAGTTTATTACACATCAGCAAAAAAAAAATCAGCTTCTCACAGTTTTATTGACAAAAACAGATCACCTTATGTCATGATGCATTAAAGTAGCGTACCACCAAGTTTACACAAAAACTGTAACTGTAATAATTGGTGTTCAGTAACCCAAATATTCTCAGTGTGTGCTTGAGACTTTTATGTCTTTAACACAAGCATGTCCAAAGTCCAGCTCAGTGGCCAGTTGTGGCCCACGAACCGATTTCAAACAGCCCTTGGCTTGTCTTTCAAAATATACGATATGTGGCCCACTACACAATATCGGTTAATCAAGCAAGATCACTTTGCATTTGCTCCTTTAACCTCACAATGGCAGGACTACTATTCAGTTGGTCGGCAGGCACCAAGTAGGAACTACACAGGTAGAACTAATGTGTTTTCATGTACAGATGGTAAACGAGCTTTTCTAACAGCAGTTACTTCCTGCTAGGTGTCAGACACGACCAAAGCTAAGAAGCATTAAGTCAACAGTGAAGACAAATGCTTGAAGGAGCAGTGGAAAGCTGTCGCATTTGTATGTGATTATTTTTATAATAACACATATGATGTGAGAAGCAAATTCACATTACCTAATGTGGCCCCCAATCAAAAAAGTTTGGACACCCCTGCTTAAACAGGAAGCCTGCGTTAAATGCTGGAAGTATGGAGAGTTGAACAGGTAGTGAGGGTCTGTAAAGTTGCATTATGGGAAATACAGGCTCCAGTGTTTTTTGGAGTTTGACCCATACTAGGAGAGTAAAAGTCAGGATATCTCAGCTTGCGATGATTTATCTGCCACATTATGGAAGTGTAATATTAAATCACTGGACCAGCCCTTTAACCCTTTGAAACCTGGAGCGACATCACTTTTCTTTTGCTGCTTTCAGACGCCTTTCGCAAGTATTTAAACCTTTGAACCCTGAGCAAACTGGTGTGATGTCTTTCAAAAACATGGGGAAAAAGGCAATGAGCAACTTGGAAAGAAATGTCCCACAAATTATAAAACAATTATAAGATTTAGAAAATTATTTTAAATTATGTTACAGAATTAATATAATTTTTTTTAGCATTCTTCCAGGTTATTCTCTTGTTTGTTTGCTTTTTCTAAATTTTGTATTTATTTTTACAATTTTTTCTCTTTTTACTAGTTTCTTTCAAATTTTTGGGGGGCTTCTTCCCATGTTTTTAAAAGACAATTTGCTCAGGTTTTAAGGGGTTAAGCAGACTAACTTTTAGCTTCAGTCCACATGATCACAACTTTAACTATTTCACAATAATGTTAATAGTCTTTAAACAATGTACAGCTTGTTTTTAGAAAAAATGCATAACTGATAGAGTTAAATTTTTGTCAAATGATGACTTGCTTTAAACATGTAATATGCGCACTATCCTCATAAATATATATGAATTCATTAACAGTGGAGTTGAAAACTCTGAGACCACATTTAAAGTCTCATATTTTCATGTAAACCTGAAAATAATAAGAAAATTTGAGGATTTAGAAACATTTAACACCACAAGAAGTTATGACATGTAAAATGAAGAAGAAATATTTAACATCCTGCTCTATTTCTAGGTAAGTAATCAAATCTAAGCAAATATGTGACATTGGTCAATGTCACTCCTTTGTGCAATAGGTCAGATTTCCTTGAGTTGTCTCCCTTCTACTGAAACACGTGCTCAGATGACACACAGGTGGACTTTATCTACTCACCCGAGGCTCATTCAAGTTACCTAACTTGCAGCCAGTGTTCACTTGTTATACGTAAATATGGCTGTGCCTCATGTTTCCAGCTGATCGTTGACGAAGTAGCATTGTGATGGTGAGAAACATGGCATCAGGATTAAGACAAAGTGTCAGAAGTCAAACTGTTATTCTAAACAAATAAATATTTACTCAACCTCAAATCATGGCTACACTGAAGGTTTCTAAGGAGAAAGTGCATTGAACTCTAAAACGCTTTGCAACCCTGGATCAGCAGTTTGATCCCCAGCTACTCAAGTCCACGTCAACTGGACCCCAAATTGCTCCTGATGGCTGTGACGTCACTGTGTGAGTGTGTGTCAACATGTAACTGACTTGCAGGTAGCCCCCCTGTATGACAGCCTTTGGCGCCAGCACATAAATGAGCATAAACGAGAGAATGTGGTATGTAGAGTTAAAGCACTTTGATGGGTCGTAAGACTTGAAAGGCTCTATACAAGTGCAAGTCTATTCACCATGAAGACCAAAGAAGATGGAGAAGTCATGACTGTCATGGACTTTCCTCCTGACCGCAGCTCCATTGAACGTTAAAGGGAGCACTTGAAGACTGAGAAAACCTTCCACTTTGTAACCTCACAAGGAGCTCTTTGTCAAATCATGCCGGGATAACTCGGGTCACCAGGTTTTCCACACACTTGTGGAGTCCATGCCAGCTCGCGTGCACGCTGCTATTAAAGCAAAATGGGGACAAACCAGATACTAAGATTTGTATGTACATCTCTAAAAGAAGTTTTTATTTGAACTGTTAAACCTATATTATAATTTGTGAAGAATGAAGCAGCATTACATTTGAAACAAATGCAAAAGTATCCTGGCCAGTGGTCTCATGTATTGTAAAACTTCAATTAAACGCCCAGCCCAGTTTACTGGCCCAGTGTGGCTACACATTTTGACAAATAAACGCCTGTCTCAATTAGACACCTGGTCTGGTTGCCAAGCAGTTCATTTCTTTTTTATAGAAGTTCTTGGAAGTATAAAAGCAGGGTGTTGGCTGCCTCAAATTATGTGTCCATTCCTTTATTACCCTCATATTCCTTTAGTCCATAACAGTCCTCAGATCAAAAGAATTAAAAGGGATTTTCATAAAAATTAACCAAAGTTGTGAGAATTGTTTTAACAGGATAAAGTGTTGTGTCAGTATGCCAGGTGCTGTAATCTCTGAGTGCCGTAACGCTCTCTGATGCTCCGTCTGTGGCAGCTAGATCAAATGAAGGATTTATAATTACTACGTTATCTGAAGCCTAAATTTTTTTACAACTAATGTTCATAGAGGTTCGAATAAATAAATTGTATTTCTTGGTCTGTGCTGGTGAACGAAATTAAAGGCCTGTCCCAAATATAGGCCTGTTGAGTTCAGTGATGTAAGCAAATAATAGGCTATTAATTTTCAGTTTTACGGTATTTTTTAAATTGATCTATTTTTAACTTTTGGTATCACAGATTTCATTTAGTTATTTGTTGTCTGTAAAAAACTGTAATGGAGTTCAGTGTGTCTGTGTGTATGATTAATTATGTATATGAATAAGTAGACTAGGTTACATATAAGGTTGGGAATGATGAAGACCATGTGACGCAGCTGAAAGCACCTAAAAGTAAGTAGATACTGATTTGTAATTGTTTTGCCAGAATAACAAAGTTGCATAAAATGACAAATATCTATTCATGCTGGATCACAGTGAGCCGTCTGGACCAACCGGGAGGTGTTTAAAGGACTGTAAAGAAGCGGAAAACGGAACTTCCTTAAACCGGATCACCGCTTGTTTCCTGTTAGTTTAGAATAAATATTATATTTTATACTGAATGTTTAGAGGTAGAGATTAGCGTTGTGCACCGGCAGAGAAACACATTACATTTCACAGACACATGTGTCCTGGTTATGACTGTATAAGGCGAAAACATCACATCTCAAACATGAGCACAACAAGGACACAGTGGGTTACATAAACACACTGACTGGATCATACAGTCAGATGATGAAGTGAAGACATGTTAATGTCCATTAAAGCGTGTTTATTATCACGTGTACAGAAATAAACGTACCTGTCCGGGTCCTCTTCGATCTGTCACCGCAAGGTGTCCACCATTCAATCCACTCCTCCTCTTCCTTCTCCTCTTCCTCCTCCTCTTTCACCCAAATTACACAACAGCCTTTCATCTGCACTTAAAGGGGAAGTACAATGGCAGGACCGCGTTCAGGTACTGTCGGAAATATCAAACACATACAGACCTTTTCATTGCAATTCTGTTGCTAGGGCAACAGATTTGGTCCCATTTGGCACATGGGAGTGTTTTCCCCTGTAGGCTTTCTCCATGAAACCCTTTTCTGGCAGAAATCTATTTATTTTTATCCCCAAACAGGAGTTTTGTCCACACTTTAACCAAATGATCCCTTTCTGATAGAAAGCTCTGGAGAAGACTCCCAACTACCTGTTTACATCCCTTGACAACTGCTTTAACAAACCTGTCTACAAGAAATAATAAGGGACCCATTTAGGGACTGTTCATTACTTATGAGTTATAGTTTTTACATTTTGGCCTAGGAGAGAGATTTCTAGTTAAAATAGACTTATTTTGCATTTGTTTTAAATACCCTCTGAACCTGAACCCCAAAACTCACAAGTAGGTCTGAAAAGCATGTTTTCTTTAATGAAATATGTGTGATGTGTAGGCTTACTTCATTTTGTTGGTTTTCTGTGTGGCTGTCATGCACCCATATTCCACTGAAGTGCACACACAGCTTGTGTGATGATGTCATTTTTAAGGAGGATTTGCATTTTGTTGAATAAATTAGCTGTTTGTCTTGGTGATAAATCTCACTCCCATGCTGTTTGCTCATTTGCTCCATACCATTTGGTGTGAATATAGAAAAATATGGTTGTAAATGGTGGAGGGAGGGTCATGAACTTTCCCCCAGTCACTCAGGGAGGCTTAAGGGGAAAATATTTTATAGCTCCAGAGAGGGTCATGATAAAAAGTTAAAAAGGAAGTCAAACCCCAGCCAGTCCCTCCTCTGATAAGTAAAGTACAGTCCCTTAGAAACGTGTGTGCGAAAGTACAACATGTGTGTAGCGCCTCCACATGAGGGCGTCATCACCTCAGGTCTGTGTTGTATCCACACAGCTTCACATTTAAACATCACTGTTGATGCTGCAGCAGTTCAGGCAGCAACATCCAGCAGTGGAATATAACTGAGTACATTTACTCAAGTTCTGTACTTAAGTACAGTTTGGAGGTACTTTTATTTTACGTCAGTTTCTCTAATTTATGCTAATTTACACTTCTACTCCACTACATTTCAGTAGAAAATATTGTAGTTTTTACTGAGCTATATTTACTAGGGCCCTAAAACAAAACTAAATTCAACAATAAACCTAATAAATCATGATGCACTATTATAGATTACACTACCCAGCAGTGTATAAAGTAATTAAAATGAGCTCCATCTTTACCAGCTGCAACATTAAAGGGACAAACACATTAATGCATCAAAAATTATAATCCAGAAATGGGCTATTTAGCATAATGAGTACTTTTACTTTTGGTACAAAGTATGTTTTGATGCTAATACTTTTTACTTTTACTTCAGTTAAATTTTGAATAAAGGACTTTTACTTGTAGCAGAGTATTTCAACAATGTGGTATCGCTACTTCTATTTCAATAACACATCTGAATACTTCTTTCACCACTGGCCACATCTGTATATCTTAACTACAAATACATAAACAACTTAAACAATATCAGAGAGTGGAGATGAGATGAGACGAGACGAGATGAGATAAGATAAACCTTTGTTGATGCTCAGAGGAGGAACAAAGTTGCAGCAGCACAAGGACAGAAATAAGTTGCCTATAGATAAATATAAAAAGTAAAAATAACACCAAGATGCACTAACATATGTGTAATGTAACTATACAAGAGCAATTAGAGACAGAATTACAAGGCAAAAGTGAAAGTGATGTGATGTGATTAATAGCAGCAGAGCCAGCAGGTAAACAGCACACGTGTATATAACATGATTAAATGATTAAGTAATAATCCTCTGTGTTTGTCTGTTTGGGTAATCTGTATGGAATCAGAGGAAATACTGAGTAAGTCATACGGATCCTCTTTAAACCCTTCCTGATTACGCTGGGTGCTGTGAAAGGCCATAAAGCTCCACAAACCAAATAAATTTGTCTCAGTTTGGGACTAAAAATATCCTTTTCTGGGTTTTTTTCATGGTTCAGGAAGCGGCTGTCAGACGGTCAGTTGTATGATGCAACTGCGCAGGAACGCTGGCCGAGAAACCACAGGAATACTTAACATTCCTGCTGGGAGTAGGTAAGCACACACACACACACACACACACACACACACACACACACACACACATCAATCCTTGTTCTAAAACCTTAAATAAATCCGACCTCTGCCACAAATCTGTTAAACGTTTTTACATTTCATTTATTTTTGGACCTCAGTCTTCGGCTGGCATTTTAACTCTGAAACAAGGCAACTTTCTGCAACTATTGATAATGAAGTAGGGAAAATTGTGTATTGTGTATTGAATATTTTACAACTACATTTAAGCTTATTGAATATTGTTTATTTTTGTGTATAAATGCTAAATGGAAGGGTTTATAACAGATCCAAAAGGGTTTCTATGTTTGAAGTCAATCATGTATCATTCATTTTTTGAGTGGCAGTGGTTAGCATTGTCACCTCAAAGCAAGAAGGTTCCTGGTTCCTGGTTCGAACCAAGCATGGGGGAGCCCTTCTGTGTGACCTTAGCATGTTCTCTCTGTCAGTGTGGGTTTTGTCTGGGTACTCCAGCTTCGTCCCACAGTCCAAAGACATGCAGGTTAATTGGTGACTCTAAATGGCCGTAGGTGTGAATGTGAGTGTGAATGGTTGTCTGTCTCTATGTTTCAGCCCTGTGATAGTCTGATGACCTGTCCACGGTGTTCCCCGCCTCTCGCCCAATGTCACCTGGGTGAAAGGCTCCTGCAAGAGAGTCAGCACCTCCAAATCTGAGGTCATGGTTCTCTGCCAGAAAGTTACTGCCCCAAGCAAGGGAGTTCAAGTATCTTGGGGTCTTGTTCACAAGTGAGGGTAGAATGGAGCGTGAGATGGATCGGCAGTTTGGCGCAGAGTCTGCAGGGATGTTGGCACTGTGCCGAACCATCATGGTGAAGAGAGAGCTGAGCCAGAAGGCAAAGCTTTCGATTTATTAGTACATCTATGTCCCAACCCTCACCTATGGTCATGAGCTCTGGATAGTGACCGAAAGAATGAGATCGCAGATACAAGCAGTAGAAATGAGTTTCCTCTGTGGGGTGTCTGGGCTCAGCCTTAGAGATAAGGTAAGGAGCTCAGACACCTTTGCGTCAAAAGGTACGGTGTGTGACTTGGTATGGTCATGTGATCACGAATCCTCTTGGGCGCCTATATTGGAGGTGGATCCCACTGGTAGGAGGCCCCGGGGCAGACCCAGAATATTATGGAGGTATTACATATTTCGTCTGGCCTGGGAACACCTCGGGGTCCCCCGGGAGGAGCTGGAAAGCATTGCTGGGGAGAGGGATATCTGGAATGCTTTGCTTGGCCTGCTGCCCCCGCAGCCCGACTTCTGATAAGTGGTTGAAAATGGATGGATGGATGGAATATTGCAACAGTTGGCATCTTAACTGTTGAAAATCAAGATAGTTTTGCTGATACTGTTCAAAGATACACCAGCAAAGCGCTCACTGTAAGTTCATCTCTCTCCAACTGTCTTTCCAAAAGATGTTCGACAACAGGGAGTTCAATCAGAAGTGACTTTAATTCCAACCAAACAGCTTTCAAAACATTATCAGCATACAAATACTTTCTTTGACATGTTATGATTTTCCATTGAAGAAAATGCTGATGCACAGACAAACATATAAACCATATCTTGGTGTGGGATTATCATTAACCCCTGCAGGTGAAGACATCATCACATTAAAACCTCTCATCTACATAAAAACATCATCACATCTGATTTAAAACAGTAAAATCTGACAAAGCCACATCATTTACTATTCACTGTGGAATTCAGTAAATAGTAGACCTATAATTTCATTGCGCTGTGATATATCCCACAGTGCAGTGGAAAAAGCACTGAACAAGTGATGGTTTCCTTCAAATCACTAAAACACCATCTGCATCCACAACTGTTACTGAAAACAGCACACAGTTAATTGTTTAACTGGGAATTCCTTATTGTGAATAATGACAGAACGAACACAGTACGAAATTGAAGTCCAAGAAGGTCCTGATTCTGGCAGTCTGTCAGTTTCTGATGTTTTTACAAAAACTTTGTGTCTCTCACAGAGCAGATTTTTTAGAAATCATTGTTTATCATGTTACCCAGACAAAGATTAATAACTCATCTCAGTGTAGTCATTTCAGACATGCTTTATTTAATAACTGACTGAGCTAGGCTAGCATTTGCCCAGGTCCATGTCATTGGTTCAACAGCCCATTGGTTCGACATCCCATTAGTCTGACTGTCCGCGGTGCTGAATGGCTCGTGGCAGGCGTATGGTGCGCCGCGACCAGCTTAGGCGGAGCAGGCTCACGGCTTATGTGTTTGTCACTTTCTTTTTCATTTTAACCCACACCATGATCTTTTCCTGACCCTAACCAAGTGCTTTTTGTGCCTAAACCTAACCAGACCTTAACCACAGGGCATCATGATGATTTCGGAACAGACTTCGGAACAATGGGTTTAATATGGTCAGACCAATGGGATGTCAAACCAATGGGCTGTCGAACCAATGGGCAGTTCCCCATTTGCCCTCACTTCCAGTTTCTGTGCTAAGCTAGGCTAAACATGTCGTAGGCCTACTGACACAAAGATGACACTATTATCAATATTCAAGTTAATACTGCTATATATGACACAAGTATAGCCACAGATAACATTAAACCATATTGTTGTCTTTAAGCTACATATTTAGCTGAACACGTCAAACAGTATTGCTAGCTACAATGTTGTTCTTGTTTGTAAAAGAACTAGCGTTTTGCTAACAGCAATCATTCAAAAAGTAACCCAGGGATTAAAAAGCATAGGCAAATATTAGCTGATGCTATGCTAGCTGCTTGATTTGATCAATTTTATTTCAGGGAACAAAAGTAAGCTAAAGCTAATTTTCCTGCCAGAAAACTTTGTGTAAATCACTTAACAGTTGGCCAACTCTCCTCTTGGTTGACTGGCATTTACCTAAATACAAAACTTTATCAGATAACCATGTGCTACATTTAGCTAGCTGATCAAGTCAAACAGTCTGCCTATTGCTAGCTAAAATATTGTTTTTGTTTTTTAACAGTTTACATTTTACTAACCGCATTCAATTCAAAAAGTAACTGAAAGATTACAAAACATCAGCTTGTATTGTTTGATTTTATTTCAGGGAGCAAAAGTAGGCTAAAGCTAAAAGCTTTCACCTACCGCACATTTTTATTTCTGACTAACCTTTTACAAGATTTTTTACAGCCTATTTCAAAGAAATATTTCAGAAAACGTTTTGTAGGTTACTTAACAGTAGGCCTACTTTCCTCTTGGTTGACATACATACATTTACCTTATTTAGGTGTGACAAAATACAATACTTTATCAGATATGTAACTATATGCTACTTAGCTAGCTGATCAAGTCAAACAAGGCCTATTGCTAACTAAAAAAGGTTTTGCTTCTAAACAGTTTGCATTTTGCTAACTGCAGTCAATCCAAAAAGTAGCTAAAGGATTAAAAAAAAACACAAGAAAATATTAGCTGTTATGCTTGCTGCTGTATTGATTAATTTGATTTCAGGGAATAAAAGTAGGCTAAAGCTTATTAGCGTCCATCTAGTACACATTTTTATTTCTGTCTTTTATTGCTAGCTAAAATGTTTTTGTTTCTAAACAGTTTGCATTTTGCTAACCTGAAGAATGAAAAAACGTGCTAATATTAGCTGATGTTATGCTAGCTGCTGTATTGACTGGCTTTATTTCAGGGAATAAAAGTAGGCTAAAGCTAATTAGCTTACATCAATGACACGTTTTTATTTCTGGCCAACTTTTTAAAGGGGCTTTTTTATATCATGTTGCAAAAATACAATGCAGCCAGTAAACTTTGTGTGGCTACTTCACAGTACTCTCCTCTTGGGTGACAAACATCTTTGTTAACTGTAGCAAAATACAAAACTTTATCAGGAGTATAACTAACATAAAGCAGCATTTAGCAGCAGCAGAGATCCATGTTTATCTAAGAGGTTAACTGCAAAATGGATCCACAAAAATAACACGTCAAAAAGAAAATTAAGAAAATTAAGAAAATTACATAATCTCTGCTTCTGTTTATAGCCTACAGTTAGTACAAAAACACGACCCAACTTCAAATGATGAGTATTAAAAGCAGATGGTTAAAATCTACTGCAGCAAAAACAAAAACAAAACAAACAAAAAATCCAGCAGAGTATTATTCATTTCTAATTAGTTACACGCCTTTTCCAGCCTTCTGGCTGTCCAGTTCTCTGATGTTAAAGTCAAATATCTAGTTATTTCTGCCTGAAATAAAAGTGATACACAAATGTGCACAGACTCAAACCTGACATGGTAATTAATTACAACTGCGTTAATATTTAGTAAAGTCTTCCGAGATATTTTCTGTGTTAAGATTACAACAACACAGTGTGACCCTTCAAAATCTAGACCTAATCTATGACAGTATGTTAAAATGCAATGTTAAAAAACTTTAACATCTACAGTTCCATGATTACTGAGCCCACTCCATCTGCTGATGAAGACTGTGTGATGTGATTGAAAGCTCTGAAACCAGTGAGTAAGTGGGCCTTTTTCTATCCTAGTTTACTAATAAATGTATTTGTAGTTTTATCTAATTAACTAATTTCTTCTCTAAACTGTCGGGTCTGATCCTCCGTCCTGTAGGCTGCTGTATGTATCTGAAACATCTGGCTCCAGTCACTGTCAGCGCTAAGTGCTAATAAATCCACCAAATGTTTCTAAGTACTTTAAACACTTTTGTGTCAACTAAACATTTCCTTAAGTACTTGAAACACCAGTAGGCTCAACTGAACAAGTCTTAAAGTACTTCAATGTCAGTTAGATGTCTTAAGTATTTTAAACATCAATATATCAGCCAGCCCTGTAGGATACAGTTTTTTTAAATACTAAATGTCAACTAAACATATAATTTAAAGACGTTAAGCACTAGTTATTAAGGATTATTTATCTTTCATGTATTTCTTTTGTTTATAGAAAAAAAGAGAATCAACATTTTTTTGTCTTGTCTGACCTTGTTATTCTGTTTTCTAGCAGTGCTAAAACTTCTTTAAACTGAACACCATATTGTGTTGAACACTGTGTTGCATGAGCGTCTCAGTGCTGACAGGGTGTATCCAGGTTTTGCCCGCACTTCCAGCAGCAGTAATGATGAGGATGCCACGTCTGTCCATCTTTAGCCGTGTGAAAAGACTGACAGAAGATCAGCTGAGGAAGAGAACAGGACAAAGGGGAGAACAGGTAATTAAATAAATAATGATGAATAAACGTGGTTTTTAAAGGATAACATTTCTAACAACAGATAATGTTACAGTATTCTGTGTGGTTACATTGATAGACAGACCTAGTCTTCACTTGTTGTACTCATCCTGTGTGACTTGTGTACACACTGTATACACTGTATACTGATGGTCTATGCAGCCATGCATCTTAATGAGATGCACCAGGCTTTCAACTAACTATCAAATATCAAAATATCAACATGTATCCCTACACAGGACGCACCCCTTCTTATTGTACTTTAGACAGCACAAAAACTGCAAAATATCACCCTTGACACACCACAACGTTCCTCTGTCTGATACTGATCAGTCTACTGTGATGTCTTCTCACCTCATCGCAGCCTGAGCATCGTGGCCGGACCGTCTGACAGTAGTGTCGTCCACAGAACAGCTTCTTATTGGACCAGAAGTAGACCAGGTCCACCAGACCCTGGCCACACTCTGAACATACGAAGCAGGTGGGATGCCACAGGGCGCTATGGTAACCTGCACGCTCGGCGTAAACAGCTGGACTCTCCTTGGCAACCTCACCTTGGCAACCAGTGCACAGCTAGAAGAGACAGAGAGGACAGAATATTACAGTGAGACAAGGTTGTGAACGAAACTACTGCAACAAAGTGTGAGTTTGAAATGAGTGAGGTCAGGAACATTACAGCCTGCTGGGAGTAAAACAGGCCCATACCACATGGTGTGACTAAAAAGGGGCACAGTGGGCGGGGTTTGTAACAGGGGGGTCTAAAGCCAAGCTATAAATCCCATAAAACTGACAGTATATGCTACATTATGTATACTTTTACTTGTGAAAATTTAAGTACATTTTGTTGATAGTAATTGATTAAATGCTTACATGAATTTTGAGGGCAGGACTTTGGCTTATAATGGCAAATCGATGGGTGACGTAACTGTGGCTATGTTCATTATTTTTATAAAGTGTATGGTCTGGTGCTTTGTCGGAGCAAAAGTGGTTTTCTTGAGTCTGTAACCAACATTACCAGGCATTAACCTTTTAAGATGTCGGATGCCTCATTTACTTACATGTACAGTCTTGGTGTTGTCATCTGTTCCGTTAGTGGAGCCAGAGACAGTGGCAGTGCTGCTGTCGGTCAAGCCGTGGTGCTGCTGCTCCAGAGCACCTTTCTTGTCGCTGTTACTACGGTCCTTGGCTTCCTTGGCTGTCCTCTGAATGGCTGCTTCCCTCAGAGCACCGCCCTCACCAGGTAGGGCCACCTCTCCGACTCCCAGCACCTCCTGTTTGTAGCTCTTCACAAACAGCAGCATGGAGGAAATCTGCAGGAGGACGTAGGAGAAGTAAGAGATCAGAGTCAACTTGTAACAAGGAAACACTTTTTTTTTAGACTTATGAATAAGTCTGATAAGAGTTATAAAACTTAATAGTGTTTGGTTGTGGCAGAGTACCTCCTCCTCACTGGCCAGGCTCTGACACTTCATGGGGTCCTGATCGTAGGCTGGGAGCTGACTGAAGAGCTGCCTGCGTCGCTCCAACGCTCCAACTGTCCCTGAGAGGGGACGTCGACTCTCTGGGATGAGCTCCATGTACTGCATAGCCTGAAAGGGATCAGGGGCATTTTACTTCTGTTTACTTCAACAGAAACTTGTTATATTTACAGCTTCTTAAATTTGTCATTGATTATGTTTGGGTGTGAAGCTGACATGTGAACTGTCTGATTTAACCTTTAACCACAAACTGACAAATTCACTTATTCACGTTTATCAGGCTGCAGATTCATTGGTCATTATCAGATCAGTTGCAACGTACACCAAAACAAGAAAGGAAAATAACTGCAGCAGTTTAGACCTGCAGATATAGACGTGCTGATGATTCCACCTTCAAAAAAAAAGAAAGAAAGAAACAGCTGCTACAGTTTTAACATGTAATGGGACAGGTGGAAACTGATGGGGTTGAATTACTGTTTCATTTGGTGATATTAGTTAAGCCTGGTTTAAGGTGCTTTTTAGATTTATTTTTTGTGTTATAATTTTTTAAGTCTTGCCATCAAATTTTTACTTATTATCTTATCAGTATTATTAATGTTATCAGCAAAGTCTGATGCTTGCTGTCACCTGCTAGTCACACTCATGTTTTTCTCATGTCCAAGGCTGGGTTCATTCTAGTCGTCTTTCTATGATACAACCTTAAAAGCCCTCAGCAAACCTGTGGTTCCTAGCCACTTCTATTTTTAGTGTTATTGAAGAATTTACATGTTTCACTGCCAAGGAGAGCAATATTATTGCTTTGCCTTTCTTGTACCCCACAGGCATATTTTACTCAGCCTGTATGACATGTTTTCGTGTTGTCATAACACTGTAAAATTAGGTAACATATACTTTCAGATATATTCATATTGTGTATTGATAATCCAATCAGAGATACTGTGAGAACTAGAATTACAACCCAGTGGTTGTCAAGCTTCTCTTACAGTTTACATCCATGTCTGTAAAAACATGGATGCTTCACACCCAGAGGATCTATACAATTAGCACAATTTCAAGGTGGACACCCAAGATTAGTGTCACCAATTCAGTATCTGACCAAATGTCTCCCCTTCTGTTTCTGAGATATGTTGTTGAGTAATGGCCAGAAAAGTAATTTATGCAGAGCATTATGATGTCACAGTGAAGTTGACCTTTGTTTGATCTTTAAGATATAAAATGTTATCACTTATCCTATTAGACATTTGTGTGAAGTTTTGTTATAATGGCCAAAAACATGCTTTGTGAGGTTACACTGACCTTGTCCTTTGATCTTCAACCACCAAATTCTAATCAATTTATTTTTCAGTCCAAGTGGATGTTTGTGTCAAATCTGAATAAATTCCTTTAAGGTATACTTAAGATATCGTGTTCACAAAAATGAGGCAGACAAGGTCACAGTGACCTTGACCTTTGACCACCAAAATCTAGTCAGTTCGTCACTGAATCCAAGTAAATGTTTGTGCCAAATTTGAAGAAAATCCCTTGAGCTTTTCTTGAGATATCACAAGAATGAGATAGATGCAAGGTCATAGTGACCTTTGACCACCAAAATCTAATCACTTCATTGTTCAGTCCAAATAAATGTTTGCGCCAAATTTACAGAAATTCCTTCAAGATCTTCTTGAGATATCGCGTTCACAAGAATGAAACAGACAAGGTGACAATGACCTTGACCTTTGACCTATGACTGCCAAAAACTAATCAGTTCATCATTTCATTCAAGTGGACATTTGTGCCAAATTTAATGAACTTCCTTTGAGGTATTCTTGATATCATATCACAAGTGTGTTCACATCAGTTCTCAACATAGAGGTGGCTGAGCCGGCGGCTAGTGGCTAACAGTGCTAAGTCCATACACAGGGCTTAACAACAGCCATGGGATGAGAGCTACACTTGCGTGATTACTCTACCCCAACATCAACGCAACAGTCAAATGAAAGCAGTGACAATGAACCAGCCAGTGGGATACACACATGCACTAACATGCACATGCAGCTGTACTAGTTTACCACAGAGAAGCTCAGATTACAGTACACAAAGAGGTAGCATGACTTCATCCTCTGCTCAAGACGCCATAACTCCACTTTACATAGTAAATAGTGCTGCTGCTATATTAATGTCCTGAATGCCACACAGAGAACATTTAAAGAATCAAAAGTAGAAGTAGTCATTATGCAGAATGCCTGCAGTGTGTAACGTGATTTTCTACCACTCGTTAACATGGTTGGATGACTCAGTTCAGAAGACTGTCTGAGTCTGAGTTTCGGTTGTCATCACGTTGTCCAGGTGTTGTCAGTGACACAGCTGTGTGTCGTCAGATGACTGCACCACTAACAGTCTGCACCGGCACACTCCACACTCAAGCTTTGGATGAAACAAACAACATGCTTAAGACTTTGGAGACAGATCCGGAGAACAGTCCCAGTTTTGGATCTGGATCTGTCTCCACAAGTTCAACCACAGTAACGTCCCCCACCGCACTGAAGTGCTCAATAATCACTGTCATCCTTATAATTATGGGTTGTGAAACCTAAAACATACTGTTCTTGTTTTAATGGAAACCAGATGGTGTAGACTGTTCGACACACAGAGGGGCTGCAGAAACTACAATATTATAAAATAAATAAAATGAGTACAGTGGTAAATCAAAATGGTGAACCTTAAGGATAAGAACAGAACTTTGTTTTTCATGTTGCCGACATAATCTACGATGCAGTCATCATATTTAAGAACGTACTGTGAGCTGAACACACACTCAGTTTCTTTGTTAATGAGAATGTGCATGAGAGAGAGGAGGTTAAAAACAAATACAGCAGAAAAACTAGGAATGGGTACAGATGACTGGTCTTAAATTGGTTCCAGTTACTGAGAGCCTGAATACCAGTAAACTCCTGGGCAGTCGATGCTGCTGTCAGTATTGTGTTTATCAGCATGTGTAACTTTGTGTCTGTGCTACATGTATGTGTTTTACAGGTTGTTGTTTTTTTTGGTGGTAATACTAATGAGACAATACGCCACATATGCTGTGTTTTGGATTGGGCTCCAGTTGGTGAGTGTGTCAGATGCCCAAAATAAAGATAGCACCAGTTTTCAGATAAAATAACTCAAAAGTTACTAACCTTAGAAATGAACAACAAGAACTTTATCTATCTATCTATCTATCTATCTATCTATCTATCTATCTATCTATCTATCTTGACTGTGCAGGCTGACACAGACCAACACACTGCAGCTCCACACTAACAACCAACCTCCTGCACTTCACACTGATCCTCACCAGTGTCTGGTTGAGGCCGGCCGGCGCCCAGTCGTATGTCGTAGTGTTGAAGGTCGGGTCTTTACGCGACACCACGGGATTGGTCACGATCATGCGGTTCCTCTTGTACATGCGAAGGCCGCCGCCTCCTTTGACCTTCGCTGTCAAATGGGAGCAGGGTGAGTCTGCGAGCAGGCGTCCCATTTGCTGGTCATCTTCGGCGTCACCTCCAGGAGCGTGGTCAACCGTGCTGCAGCCGCAGGCGATGCAAGCTTTCCTGCACAAGAAGGTCAACGAGAATGGTAGAAAAGAAAATAGATACAAAAATATGTCAAGACTTTAGGAGAATTAAAGGCTGTGTTGCCAGATTTGGCGTTTTCTGCCTGATTGAGGTGCTTTATTGCATATGTATATAATAAATGTATATACATTTATTATGAACATATTTGTATATGTCCTTTCAAGAGCAGAGAATAGTTGAGAGAGGGAGAAGAGGAGAAACCACTTGGACTGTATCCAGCACTTTGGTTTTCTCTTTCTTTTCCTTTCATTTTTCAGGCAGAGAGAAATAATAATAAAATGAAAAACAGGGAAGAGGCGTACCTCCAAGAATGTGGCTGGAATCCAGAGCAGCTCTCCTTACATGCATGACACTGTACCGCAACTCCTGCACGCTGCTTCACAGACATCTGAGAGGAGACAAGAATACAGCAAAAACACAGTGATGTTATACCTTCAAATCATTGATTTAACTCTGACCCTGTGAGGTATAGTCCATTTAAGTTTCTAAATTATAACCAGCTTAACAATGAGAGCGTAAAAAGATCCGAGGTCACAATAGAACAAGTGTAAATATAGCCACCATGAAGTCACCCAGTAGTTAGTGTACTTCCATTTTGAAGCTTCATGTTTGACATTTTTGCCATTGCTACCTTTTATTTGGAGCCAGAGGTGACCACATTTGGATGAGAGGGCGGAGCTCATGGATGTATAAAGAGAAGAAGAGATGATTGGTGATTGATGATCTGCATCTTTGGGCCCACAGAGCAGGCACACTAGAGACTACCATCGGTTGAGCTGGCTACTTTTAGTTTAGCCCTCTTCTAATGTGAATGGAGATAAACTGATTTAATCTTGTGGCTCTTCTAAACTTTCCAAATGTTATTGGACCGAATGGATCAAATCTCGATAGTGACACAAGTCATTTTATGAGGGTTGTGACACTTAAAAAACATGTATCCACTGATTTACAGACGTCTCTTTCCAAATGTAAGTCAGTGGGAAAAGTCTTTTGGGTCTTGATGGCATCATGTGGTGGTCTCGAGAGTTGCAATTCCACTGTTTGGCCACTATGAAAATTGACTTCAAAGCCTGATGCACTTCCTGGGGGTCTGTTGGAGCTGGAGAGGATACAAATTGCTGCGTTGCTATCCTGACTGGCAAGTCACTGTGTTAGCAACTAGTCAATTACCAGGTAGCCCCACCCCATACCCTGCTTTATCTATCTTTATCTATCTATTTTGCTTAAAATGGTACCTTAATTTACAAAATGAACATCCCGCTGTATTAAAGAGGACTTAAAACTAATGATTGAGGCCATGAAGTCATTAGGAAAATGTTTGCTGAGGTCATAAATTAGTGAGAGGTAGAGTCGCTTTCTCACAGATTTCTATACTATCAGATTTTTTTGTGTAACCAGTCACCTTCTGCTGGTCATCAGAAAGAATGCAGGTTTAAGGTGCTTCTGCTTGAATTTGACTTTTCAGACCCCGAGCCTACCTCCACTTCTTTTATAAAGTCTACGGTGTGCACATGCACATTTTGTAACCACAAAAAAATGTTAAGGAAGTTGGTCAGAGTAATTTGTTTACCACAACCCAATGTTACCTGCATCATACCAGCTGTGTCATGACTGGCTGTAGGCTGAGTAACCTGTTTATTTTCTGTTAAATTACAGGAACACTTGAGTCATGTCTGCTCTTACTGTGACTTCCACTGGAGTCACAATTAGTATAGTCACGGAAAAGAACATCATTAAACAAAATGTTGCCAAATTAGATTTCATTGGGTGTCTACTGTCTCCTTTTTCTGTCAGTTAAAATACTAAACTGAGACAAAGATGTCAAGCTCATTACCAACAGCAGAGGAATGTTCCTTTAAATTGGGTGTTTTCATACCTGGTGGTGTCAGCTCAGTAACATAATAATAAATACACACACACACACACACACACACACACATACTCTGTCCGTCAGTGTATTCCAGAGGGGTGTAATGAAGTCTTGTTCTTCATCAGCTGTTTCTGTTGCAGCCGTCATCGCTGTGACCTTTGCAACATGGGCCAATCAACAGCCTCTTTACTGTCACACACACTTACACACACTCACTCTTCACACCTCTAAACACACTCGTCTGTCCTCTCACAGCTAATGACTGCTCTGGTCTGGGTCCATTTTTCCTGCTGTGACTTCCAGTGAAGGAAAATCTCACAGGAATAGTTCGACACTTTGGGAAACATGCTTATTTGCTTTCTTGTTTAGAGTTAAACAAGAAGAATGGGCCTCATCCATCAACATCTAATTTTTTTTCTCTTAATTTTGTCCTTAAGAAAAGCCTATGTCGAATTCATGACATTTCCTTAAACCACAGAAACAGGGCGAGGGTTTCTTGAGCAACCTTGCTCACTTACAAGGTGCATGGAGAAGGGAGATAAATTAAAGACAAACTCCAAACTCCAGCGACACTTTTGGCATTTAGAATAACCTTAATGCAAGAACAACACATTTCGACTTGTGGCCTGGATGACCCTGATGATGGCCATGACTCATGAGTCAAAACATATTGGTCTGGCAATAAAGCTGTTCTACGTGTTGCTGGAGTTTTTATACCTTTGTTTTCTTAGACCGCAGACCTGTTCGCATCTGTGTTCCTTATATTGACAAATCCTGTTCCTCTGTAAGCTGAAAGTGTGTGCCAGTTGAGCCTTATTAATATCGGTAAACGCCCCACCAATCCCCGTAAAAGGGAATAAGACGGCAGGGCCTTGTGCACAGAAAAAGAAGGAGAGGAAGAAGAAGAAGAAGAAGAAGAAGGAGGAGAAGTGGAAGAAGTTGAGAGAATTAAGTTGAGAATGTCCAAATGAAGGTCTAAAGAGGGTGGAGCACCAGACTCCAACGCAAAGAAACCCCACTTCAAAAATTCTGAAGTGGAGGTACTTGTGAAGAAAGTGAGCGCCAAACAAGCTGCCAAATTTAGTGGTGCCAGTAGAGGATATAAAATAGCACAGAAAGATGCACTGTTTTGTTTTTTTTGTTTTTTTTCCCCGTTAAAGGGTTTTTTTTGGGGAGTTTTTCCTTATCCGCTGCGAGGGTCATAAGGACAGAGGGATGTCGTATGCTGTAAAGCCCTGTGAGGCAGATTGTGATTTGTGATATTGGGCTTTATAAATAAAATTGATTGATTGATTGATTGGTTGCTAAACACACATTAATAAATCACCTAATTTGCAAAGCATGCTTTATAGTAGCACCATTGTCAGGACTGGGGACAGAAACAAACCTTGACATTTTAGACAATAGCGTTCTTCCAGCTTTGTTTGGACCTGCACTTGTTTAGCACTTTTGTAGTCATCTGACGACTCAAAGTGCTTTTTACACTACGAGTCACATTCACCCATTCACAAACACATTTGAACACTAGTGGCTGAGGCTACCATACAAGGTGCCACCTGCTACTTAGAGTTCAATATCTTGCCCAAGGATACTTTGAAATGAAGACTGGAGGAGCCGGGGATTAAGACACTGATCTTCTGATTAGTGGATGACCCACTCTACCTCTGAGCCACAGCCACCCCTAAGAGAACTTTGCTTTCCTCTGTCGTCTTGCACACATTAGCCCTTTTTAAATAGGAATTGTGCAAATTTGCAGGAAAGCCCAATCGGTCTTTTTTCAGCATTGGCAGTATAAAAACAAAATTGGGGAATGCAGCAAAATGCCGCCTACCTACATGTGTTCATACAGAATGTGCCTTTTTCGGGGCAATGGGGGGCGTGAGCAAGTAACAAAACATGTAGCTCAGCATGTGACGTAAACAGTGACGTGGGAGGGAAGCTGCGGCTGGTCAGTCCTTCGGCAATTTTTTCATAAGTCAGCTCGTCCTTCACCGTCCCCGTCATTTGACGGTAAATGGCCTCTTCATTTGCGAGGACAAGGAGGGCACGCAATTCCTTGTCTCCCCAGTTGCTCATCTTTACTGTAGTGTCTGTCACGTTTGTGTTTCCCTCTTGCTACTAGTACTAGCTGCTCATTCCTGCTATCAGCTGTTTCCTGTTTATCCACCGTCAGTGGATCGCACGTGCAGCATCATCAACAGCTCCTCCCACAAGTCATCAACAGCCCCTGCCGTTGCGGAAGGGCGCCTCGTTCTTTTTAAACCAAAAAGGTTCCACCAATATGACTACCCTACGAGGCGGAAAATTGGGCACCTTGGATCAACTCGCCAACCCGGCTCTGTGTGTCTAAATGCTTGCAGCTTGCTGGCAAAACACCCAACATTCGCAGAAAATCTGGCAGTGTAAAAGGGGCTAATGTCATCTTCACATGGATGCATAAAATCTCCCAGTGCAACGACATGTTCTGGAGGACCGGAGTCTTGTTGTCTATTAAAACCGCCCCTGCCACCACCACGTCCAAATCCACCACTTCTTCCTCCTCCACCACCTCTTCCTCCTCTGAAAGACATTTTTCTTCACACCCTAAAGTTTACTGGATAACTATGGTGATTTACTCAGAGTGACTGGCATGCGATGACAACACGTGTGGCTATGGGTTGCTGTAAAGCTATTCAACAGCATCAAAACATCGTGAAACATCCTGTCTCTGTTTCAACATGACAGTGCCCTCATACACAAAGCCAGGTCCATAAAATATGGTTTTCCCAGTTTGGTGTGGAAGAACAAAGCCCTGACTGTAAGCCGACTTATTGCTTACATTCAGTGCTGGACCTCGCTGATGTTCTCGTGGCTGAATAGGATCAAATCTCTGCAGCCAGGCTCCAACATCTGATAGAAAACCTGCCAGAAAAGTGGAGGCTGGGACAGCAGCTTATTTTGTAGTTCATCATTTTGGAAGAGCTCATGTCACTGTATTATGTGTATATGAATGTCTCCCTGAAGAGAGATGGGCTTGTTAATGCCTGGTGACAGATAGACAGGTGGACAGTCCATCAGCAGCAGGTTGTTTTAGCAGAGCAGTCGTCAGGTTTCCTGGCAGAGGCTTTAAAAACAGTCAGTCATCCCTGAGGGTTGTTTCCTAGCTCGCACACACAAACACACAGACCATCACTCTGAGATTATTTTTAACTTTTAGGTAAGGTGAGGTAAACTTTAATGTCCCTGAGGGGCAATATGAGATACAGACAACACGTCAGTCAAGAGTACAACAAAACAGACAGAATCCAGTATCACACACTGTCAGGGGTAAATCGTGGACATTAAGGGTAACCGCTGGTAAGCTAAGTGATAGCAGACAGGACAAAGGACGATCTGTAACGCTTCATGCTGCATTTAGGAAGGCAAACCCTCCACCCTGATGGAAGCATCTGAAACTCAAGTTGAGAGTCTGAGACAATAGACCGAGCTTTAGAGGTGATCTTCTCTTCATACAGATGCTGCACGTTATTAAAAGTAAC